TATGCCAGTCGACCGACTTCCTCAAAGGGCTCTTTTCGCCCAACCATGTGAAGGGTGGAAGAGAGCCAGAGGCGGTCAAACAACCACTTGGCAGCGAAGTTTGAAAGCCGTTACCAGCGAACTCAGCGTCTTCCTGGATGGGGACCCCGAGACGGGCCACACCAATGTCTGGAGACATTGTCAGACATGACCCAGTCGCGCCCTCAATGGCGCTTGTGCATCCAAGCTATTGCCTTCAATGCACAGCTCCCCTCTCAACCCCCCACTTCACAGATCACTGACAGTGCTGGATTTATGCACCAATATACCAGCTCGCGCGTGCAGTGCGCAGCTACCTACCCCCCAAATCATCGGTGAACGAAACTGCGGCAGTTACAACCAGTGTACGACGAGTACGCGGTTCTTACAGCTGACAATGATGATGATGATGACGATGACTTAGCCAATTTGAAACTCATTTGGGTCTAATACGTGGACGGGATTCGGTAGGTGTACACGGACACGAGCAACTGATTCAACTGTGCGCTAGGCGCAGATTATGTTTATGCATTATCATTACCTGAAACAGCGGAAGCCATCCACCCACGTGGTGCCCCATAAAAGCGTTCCAACGCAAGCAAGTAAATGGTCCCATCATCGTAGACTGCCGATGGCGCGAATCAGTAACTTATCTGGATCGTCCTGGGTCGCTTTGCTGTTTGCTTTTCAAGTCCGCGCCATGAGTGGACAACTCGTTCACACACGAAAGGCTACCTGATCCCGAGGTTAGGCGAATTTATCCTATCTCTTATGAACATTCTTCCAGTCGCCTCACTCTTGTCTATCCGTTAGTCCGAGAGAGTGGTGGCTGCATCTTCCAACTGCCTCAGGTCGCACGCCACTGCTGGCTCTGCTCAAGCAACGGTTTTCAAAAAGAACAGTAGGACCTGTTTAAACTCGGAGAAGTGTTCTAGCCGGCACCCAGCATAATTCAGCTCGATGAATCATCAGACTTCGAGTAAAACTTAGCCTGCGTACCGTTCGCGAGGCCCGGTGGACACGTGCATAGAAAGCTGGGAGTGCCAAAAAAATTAGCCCCATCCATGTGAATAATACCTGAAAACCGCCATTGAGTGAAAAAAATTGGGAGTTGAAGTTGAGCGAGACATGCCCCGACCAATGGAATGCGCACTTCAAGTTACAATTCATGTTGAAATCAGGTTCCTGAAAGGCTTAGGCGAAAAAGTAATCTTGACATCTCGAGGATTTAACCAAGAAAACATCTAAATGTGCTTTGAATTGGGCAGCGGATGCAGCGTGAGCAACCGTCGGGTCTGAAACCTGACCACTGCGCGCTGAGGACGTCAAAAGATTTTCAGTGTTTGACCATCGATGTCTTTGGAGCATTCCACGAGTCTGCTGGAACAACTGGTAAGCAATGCTGAAGTATGTCAATTGGCATTTGGAAGAAATAACTCACAATCGATAGATCAACTGATCACACTGCATAAGTTGTGCTGGCTTGGCCACGTGCTGCGTATACCGGTCGACCGTCTTCCTTGAATGGTCCTTTTCTCACCGCCTTGTGTAGGGTGGGAACTAGCTAGAGGCGGCAGCGAAGTATAAAAGCCATTACCAGCAAACCTAGCTGTCCTGGTCACTGCCGTCCTCTTGGATGGGAACCCCGGGACGGGCCGCATCAATGGTTGGAGACATTGTCAGACGTGGCCCAGTCGCGCCCTCAATGGTGCTCGTGCATCCAAGCTCTCACCTTTGATACATAACTCCCTTCCGAATCCTCATACTTGACAGTCTACTGACTGCTGTATTTACGCACGAATTTATCAGTCCCGCATCCAATTCGCAGCTATCTACCCCCCCCCC